TTAATTATGATTAAGCTTTACACAGAACATAAAATGTAGATATAAAGTAGAACCACTTTTCACAAAATCCAAACAAAATTCCTGCTGATATGGACTCATAAATTGGCCGGTCGTCAGACCCCGTCAGAGACAAAAACCACCATTTACAAAATTACAAAGTAGCTGGAAGTAGGCTAGCTAATTTTTCATATTAAATTTTTTGAACCTAATTATACATCCCGTCGTTTGGCTGACTACTTCCTGTTTATTTTCGATTTAAGTACTTTTCGGGATTATCAGTAATTCTTAACTAAGAGAATAGTCACTATAGGTCGCTTTGGGGATTTAAAGAGAGATTGTCGATTTCTCCCACAATGAGCTTAGCAGGCCTCACGATACATTTGGGAAACAGAACGAAGTGAAATCCAATTGTATCGTGAAGCGTAATTGACTTATTGTGGAATAAATCAGCTATCAGTTATTCAATTTCCTAAAGCAACATGGTGTGACTAAACTCTTACTTCTTGCTTACCTTGGATGCTAGCAGGCGAGTGGAGCTAAGGCATGAAGAAGATATTGGTATGGGTGTAATGAATCGTCTTATATAAATTTAGACTTGTTTGATCCATTAATGTGTCTATGTGTGTTTGTGTGTGTGTATTTATGTGCATTATGTGCATTTCATGCTTATGATTGAGTTGGGATGTTAGAGCCAAAAACTGTACTCTAGATGGATCAAGAATTTTCCTCGTACTCATTAGTTCTTTCTCCCTATAATTTCATCCAGTAGTTTCTTCTTCTAGCTTCTTGTTCTCGTTAACCTCATTTAGACAGTCGGATGTTTCGTTAATCTTTATTGAGTTCATACTATTCCGCCTAACCGTAAGAATTCAATTTCCTGCAAATCGCTTAGTCTTAGATCAATTTATCTGGTGTTCTGTACAGGTCGTATGTTTACCTACTTCTGAGTTCTGGATACGTGAACCTTTGCAGGTGGCCTGGTATTCAGATAAACTCTTGTTGATGGATCCATATGTCTTTCACACAAAGCTATCGTGTTCAAGTGCAAGTGAGGGTCCCGAAATTCTCAAAAAGAAGGCAAGGTTGAAAAAGGTTTTATAAAAATAAACTGTGTTTTGAAGAATTCCATGTTGATTTATTGGGAGATAACTTTCCATTTCACACAAAGCAACAGTCTTCCCTATGCGAAAATCCTTCTTTGTACAGATGAGATGTATTTATCCAATTTCGTTTCAAGTGATGAAGGACTGCTAGTTTAATGTTCCCACAATGAAATGGGTAGAGTTGACGTTTCTATTGAATTTCACATTGCCATGATTTCCCAAAAGGTATTCTCCTCCTGGCCGGAGCGGAGTGCAGTTTCAACCTAGCCTAGGTCTCATCAGCGCCCTCAAACTATGATAGTGAGGCGTATAATCTCGATACGTTAAGTACAAGGCCACATTGCCACGAGTGGAGTAATAGGTTACATTTTTTAAATCTACTGTGGAACATACCCAATCCTGCGTCCTCTGCCATAGTATTCATGATGAGTTCCAGCACTCGACTGTTAACTTGGCTGCATTTTTTATTTTTTTCTCATGATTATTTTGCATGCACCTCTGTTTTAGGAAGGAAATCCAAAAATGTTTGCCCAACAGTCCTAGCAAAAGTTATTAAATTATTTTTGATTATTTAATCTTTTTTTTACATTTATTTATTTACATTCTCCATATTTATCATTAATTTAATTTATTCTGACTTTCATATACTTTAAATTGAAAAATTCTCCCAAAAATGTTGATCAAATAACCAGGTAACACCAGGTAGTAGACCGTACACCTTATCAACAATTTAAGAACCAGGACTTTCTCATGTATTTCATGGGCCTATACTTAATCCACATAGTTACAGTTCAAATTTTTTAATCAGACACGATCCACTGGCTAATCTTTGAGCTTGCTTATTCACTTATTCATCAAGAGTAATTGGTGTGTTTTTAATGACTAACTTTTCCAATTTTATGACCGTCATGACAACACTACCAAATTGCAAGCGTGAGGTAAACCACGTAAATACAGCAAAAGACAATCGCGACCAATACTGAGGACACACCATTTTGTACCGAATTCCTTTGAGTAAAGTTAGGATTTTCACTTTGTCTGACTAATTCAATCATTATGCTCATCTGATGCCAATATACTGCAAACAAATCACCCTTTTCTATAATCATATTATCTACCAGCCTAACGATTTCATAAAAATTATTACCTTACAACCGAAAAGACTCAACGACTCGATTTAACTATTTATGCAAACCTTAGTATTCACGATTAGTCCCCGTGAAATCCCTTCTTCGTGAATTTTGGTTCAACCATATGACTTCGTAGGTCTGATATGCATAAAGGATTGAAGCCAGCCATAAATTTTGGCTGAGCATCTTTCTTTGGTGACGTGTCCATGACGAAAAGGTTGCACAGCTTGTGCTCAAATCATAATTTACAACTACAGGGCAACCTTGCTTCCTTTTTCACTGAAGCTAATTTAAAAATACCTTCCATTCATTCGTTCATACTAAATAAAAGATTTAGGAAATGTTTATGTCATATTTTGCCTATTTTTACACGGTAGACAATCTACAGTGAATACACAGGACTGAATATTCCAACCAACAATAAGTCTCCAATTTCATTAACTTAAGCGCCAACATACAAGGGCGACTTTACAATACTCATGTGCACAATGGTTTTGCCCAAATCCACTAGAACTCCTCGAGGTTCGGGGCTCTTGTTTGCTTGCAGCTTATGATAAATGTTGCGCATAACCTGGCGCAGGCTGTCCGTTGGCGTCCATCGTATGAAGTAGCTGATTACATATTCCTGAACAGTGTTCTTCAGAAGCATCAAGCCTAGTTGAATCTTTCTCTCCTCATTGGAGGTCTGTGAAGGTCCGGCTGTGGCCTGTCTTGCCAGTAGGCAGAATAACAGGCAGTACAACACGAAGACGGCAATTGCTGAAGACGGAACGAGCGATCTGGTAGGTCCAAGTGACATGCTCAGAAGTGATGATCTTCTTCAGTGGGGCCAATTTAAATATTCTGTTTAGACACATTTCTGATGGACTGTCCCTCCCCTAAGAATTAGGAAAAACGCCACGGCAACTACCTAAAAGTGCATAAGATGTAATGTGAAATTTACTGTTGATACTCCTAGCAAAACTGAAGTACATGCAGGGCGTGAAGACGGCTGCATCATATGCAAGTTAAAAACCATGTTTAAGCGCCTTCCATGCAGCGCATTGCATGCCGCCCATCTTTATCCTATCGATTCACAAAAAAGTGTAACATGAGCTTGTTACTGTCTTGACGACTACTCTTGCAATCAAATCTTTGAGCGGCCTTTATGTATGCTATAAGAGGAGGTTATTATAAATACTAGTAAAATTTTGCCCATCACCAGTAGCTATGATATGAAGTGGGTATAGTTTCTCTTTCAAACAAATGGTATTCTAAACTCACTTATCAAGCTCGTCTACTGGTCGGAGTCTCTATTGCCAAATAATAAGCAAAAACATTATAGAGGTATTGAAAAATGCAATTCCGGGATGCAATTTTTGGGCATTTTTTATCCATATCCTAAATAAGCTGCCATAAGGTTTTGTGTTTATTTGGTAGCATCTATGTTATGGAGACCTGTAGACCTGTACATAACAGCTTATCTGAAAATTAAACAGCCTGTAAACGTTTGTGAGTCGCAAAGTCAGAACTCCCTTTTTATTATAGTTGGATAAGAGAGTAAAGAGTAGATAGATAGACAATGACAGAAAGAGGAGTGATTTTGTAACCGTTTTCGACAGAACGATTGTCGAGGGATTAACTTCATTTGTCTCTTTGACAAGTTCGTAGCTTGGTGCGGAGAATGGCAGCACTCACTGATGATACCGTACGATGCCGGCGAAACGTTTGAGAATGTACCAAGTCCACTGTCTGATGCTGGGAATCATGACAACTACTAGGGCAGACGACCTCGGACTCGG